GTTCATGTAGATGTAACTGTTTAGATTTGCTTTTATTTTTATCAAAATAAACTGTCAAATCATACATAATGTCAAAAGTTCTAAGATTAATCTGAACATTTGTCTTCAAAAATTTGGTTCTCAAATCTTCATTTATTATTAATTAATTAATATAAAATAAGAGGGATCACACAAAATTTGAACCTGCATACCCCTCAGTAAATGTGTAGTTGCGCCCCCTGACTGTTTACATGCATCAGCTGCCGACCGGAAGATCTTCGCATTCTCCTTGCGCACACACGCAAAGCATAATGGGTAATTTTGCGTTCCAAGAAAAAGGTCTATAGTATATCATCATTACACATGCATTGCTATGTAAACACATACAATAAAAAGCCAGAGAGCTGTATCTTCTGCCCCTGTCTGTTAATTCTTCCTCCCCTTCTGTGCACGTGTGAAAGTGAAGCATCATCAGCTCACTGAAAAGCACTGATTATCTCCCATGTGTTCACTAATTATAATGCTTTGCCTGTTCCAGTAGACAATCAACAGAACGGCTGTGAAATCAAGCTTTTGTCCCACGACATCCATCCTGACACCCAAATATTCAGGCCATAAGCCTCTCCACTATAATAGCTCTCGGTATTGTAAGCCAATCTGTGCAAGCGTCAGTCATTAATATTCATAAAAGCGCTATGAATATTCATTTGTGTGAGCTCTTCACCCAAAGCACATAATTAAAGGCAACGAGAGTCTCTTGACGGCACCTGGACGTCCGTCCACCTGCTGGAATATTAAAAACATCTGAGAAACCACACTGACACGCTTTCAAAATAAGAGATAAGCAATAGATCAGTTTCCATCCACTGTTTTAGGCAGATTTAGGATTATTGCATAAGGAAATGTTTGATGGAAACGTCAAGATGTGGAAAAATGTTGATAACGTGCATATGGTTTTTATCGTATCTACTTAACTGCGCAGGATAAACATTTTATGCAATAAAAAAACATGCATAAACTACAGGGTGGGCCGTTTATATGGAGACACCTTAATAATTTGGGAATGGTTGGTGATATTAACATCCTGTTTGTGGCACATTAGTATATGTGAGGGGGCAAACTTTTCAAGTTGAGTGGTGACCATGGTGGCCATTTTGAAGTCGGCCATCTTGGATCTAACTTTTGTTTTTTTCAATAGGAAGAGGGTCATGTGACACATCAAACTCATTGGGAATTTCACAAGTAAAACAATGGTGTGCTTGGTTTTAACATAACTTTAGTCTTTCATGAGTTATTTACAAGTTTCTGAACACTTATAAAATGTGTTCAATGTGCTGCCCATTGTGTTGGATTGTCAGTGCAAGCCTCTTCTCCCGCTCTTCACACACTGATAGCAACACCGCAGGAGAAATGCCAGCACAGGCTTCCAGTATCCAAAATTCCAAAATTGCAGCTCATTTTTTATAGTTTACAGATTCATCTCGCACCCGCAAGGTTTAATCCAGACCGCGGGCCGTACGTTTGACACCCCTGGTCTTGAGCATCTGTCTGTGCTCCCAAAGAGTGTATCATGCCTCCAAGGCACCGCATTCATTGCGTTCATTTAGTTTTGTCTTCGTTTTCTGGGGCGCAATTTATTTATTAGAGAAGAAAAGCACCACATTAGCATCTCCTACCATAATAAATTCCCTTTTGCTTTCTGATCAGCATTAACTCTTAAATATAATTCATATATTTAGATTCCAGGATCGCACTGAACAAAATGTCCATGATCTTTTGCGCAGCTTGTCACTAAACTACAAGTGCATCCCAATCGCCAATCATTTTAAGCGCTGTCTCAATTGCAAAATTACTGAAACGTTCACTCCCTAAAATGTCCCATGATGCACTGAAAATAGTATCGAAACCCACTATGCGCCTAATGAATGTTCGAAAGAGTGAACTGTGAATCACTTAACCCAAATCATCAAACGTAATCACAAACAACCGATGTTTTTCTAAACATAAACTGCTATTAATTTTTACCATGCTAGACAGGGGTGCGTTTCCCAAACAACGATGTAGCTCACAGCTGAACTATCATAGTACGATGCATCGTTTGGGAAAAGAAGATGTAGTGAGGAGTGTTTCCCAAAACCCCTAGTTTCTCTGTCGCA